GATGGATGGATGGATGGATGGATGGATGGATGGATGGATGGATGGATGGATGGATGGATGGATGGATGGATGGATGGATGGACAGACGGACAGACATCTTTCTCTTTTCTCAAACACTGACCAATGGTGCGATCTGAGACTAATGAACCTCGACCCTGGAGTTCACCTCTACTCTCTTTGGAAGACTGTTTTAAGTTATTTCACTGACWTTTGTTGGTTTTTATTTCTTTAACAAAAGGGTACAAAGAAATTTCTTTACATCTGTATTTGATAGCCTGTTTCTCTTAACAGAACGTCCACAAAGCCATGACTACACCCAGTTTTTTTGGTGGGGAGGGCAGGTAAGAAACCCTTACATTCACATTAGTAGTAGAAGAAAGTAGAGGAACTCCTGTAATCTCCATGTGTGTGTGTGTGTGTGTGTGTGTGTGTGTGTATCAGGAGCAATAGATTGTCTCCAGCCACAGAGAGTTCTGATGCTCTCTTACCACTTCCTGACTCTGCCTTCCATCGGGCTGTGGAGGCCAAAGAGCTTGTCGCGGGGGCGTGTACTATTGCTACTGATGACAAAGGTATCACAAAATAAACAACTCTTTAAAGGTGGTTCTTCATGTTTTCATAACACTTTGGAAACCTTGGACATMATAAAGGGCTTTACTAGTTTAGGCCATGTACTATTTGATCCTGTTTTGTCAAATAGTTATCAATAGTTAGTACCTTACCATGTATTAAGCATTAATACTTTTAATGATTATTTTATCTCCCAATGGGGAAACTCATTCTGTGCCTTTTCCCCATCACATATCGTTAGCTCATAGCATATATGCCCAAGTCATTTGTGYCCAAATATGTCTTGGGCATTTATGKTATGAGGCTAACGATATGTGAAGTAGAGGACTGCTATCTAAGACGCTCAGAAGGGTTAAAGACCTTGCTCAAGGGCCCATACTGGGGTWTATAAAGGAGGCAGAGATGTGGGTAAGAAAATAATCCATCCTGTTTGAAATCTTGCTGGATCTGGCAGTCCAAAAGTTCAAATAAGACTTCAACGCCATCAAAAAATGGGAGGGGACAAGACAGGATGGGTTATTACAACAATTCAATGATTCCATATAATGACACTTAACTCTTCGTATTGGTATAACCAATAGCTCCCACTTTATAWACAGACTTTTCTGATAGGTAAGCTAACAAAAAGTAGACAGATACAGCATGAAGTGATCAGTCACTGAAAATAAGATCTCTGAGACATCAACCTGACACTAGCTGATACTCATCTGGAGAGGATATAATCATGGCCGCGGCACTGATATTTACTCAGAAATGTTCTAGTTGAACAATGTCAAAACAACTAACTACTATGAATGAATTTTCTTGTAATGGAGTTTTTTTCCCATGTCTAACCTGCAGCTTCAGATGCTGTCTCATGTGTCGGACCTCATCACGCGTGAGCCACAAAGGACTAATCGAGGATCTGCCCCATCAATGAACAGGCTGTATGAGCTGCTGATCCAGTCAACAGCGAGTTACGACTCCACTCCAGCACAACTCACATATCAACAAAAATCCAGACACAAAAAATCTTGTAACTTTTCCAGCAGGTGGAGTTGAAGGCACTGCATGACCGAGTGCTTGACACACACACACACACTGCTGAAACTCATGTTCCTGATGTCTTTTGTAAATCTGCATACTTGCACACAAATCAGTGCACTGCATGTGAAGAAGGGCTTCTTTGCTTAGATGGGACAAACCTGAGCTGAACAGTCCAGATATATCTCATAATACCTTGCTGCCATCCATCTGTTCCACATTATGGTTTATCACCTGTGGGAAAAAACTGTCCTTTTAAGCCATTTTTTTTCCATTTTCCAGTCTCAACACTACTCTACGTTGGTCTACAATCTCGGTGGTCCTTGGTATAACTTGAGCGCTGTCTCGATGTAGGTGGGACTTTCATGGTGTGGCCACCCAAATCGTCTYAAACATTATTTGTTTTTTATCCAAGGCAAACGCAACGCAGCAATGGGCAAAAAATAAAAATCACAACAAACTCCTCATCCTTAGCCGTACTTTTCAGAAAWCCTGTGGCGGAGTCAAGGCCTTTCCTCCGCCGGTCGGAGCCGTAAATTGAGTRCGTTTGGTCTAGCTCCTTCTGAATTCTGTTTTTAGCCAACAAGCATGAAGCATCTTCCTCGTAGTACCACAGTGTTGGTTTACGTGTTGCCATTTTAATGGATATGTTACATATTTTAAAGAAGGAATTCTGCGGTCATTTTTAAAAATGGTGGGTTTGTTTTTTTGTAAAGGAGATGCTCTCATGATTGCTTGCTTTCTGGGCGATTAATGGCCTGCAGTCTGCTAAAGTCAAATCCTCAGCTCGACTTGGAATCTCAGTTGAGTAGGTCCTAAGAAATGTGCTGGGAGTGGGTGGGATCACCCGATGGAAAGACTTAGAAGCCGTGCAGAGTCAGGCCAAGCCCATGAAAAAATGACCATTATGGATACGGTATCGCTCTTTGTGCTCTTTTGCATTAAATTTGCAAGAATCYTGGAACTAAACAATGAGAAACATCTGCAGCTTCACATCACTGAGCACTTCATGCTGATGCGTCTCCTGCTGTTAGAGGAGTGGCTTTCTGTCGCCAGAAAACCTGCTGTGTGCGCTTGGGTTTGGTACTCCTCAGCAGACATCAGGCAAAGGTTACACAAGGAACTCGTTTCATTTCTGCAAATACGTTCAAAACTTGTCATATGTTGTGTAATTGAACCAGATTGCATATTTAATGTGTGGCCTCATATTCTTTGTTCTGTTTTGTAATAAAAGAAGAACCGATTACTGGACTTTACTGGTGTCGTGTTTTCTTCATTTCTTTAGGGATCTGGTTCCACTTCTCAAACACAAACTGCTTTCTACAGTTCCTAAAAGTGCAGAAAATAACAAAAAGGCAAAATGGAAGATAAATTTTTGATCTTCATTTTTTATTTATTTGTATTGTTTTCTGCCACATTTAGTTTTTGTGTTATTAATCTACTAAACCAAATCCCAAACAGTGAGACACTGTGTGAAATGTAAATGAAAACAATGCAATGATTTTCAGATCTCATAAACCTATGTTTTATTTACAACAGAACACAAACCATTATTGAAACAAAGAAGTTGTAAAAATTAACAATAAATATTTTGAATTTAACGGCACCAACAAGTTTTAACAAATTTTAAACTGGGGCTGCAAGTCTGTAAAAGTAAGCGGTATGAGTAAGAAACAGCTGGAGGAGCATTTTGTAACTATAAGGTTAAKTGGTGACAGATCAGTCACAGACTTGGGTAAATAAGAAAATTTTGGAGAAGATGAATTTCTCCACAGCACATCTGGGCAGCAGTCCACAAGTCTGAAAAACTGTGTCTAAAAACAGTGAAACAATGTCAGAATGATGTTCCTCAATGAAAAATTAGGGGGCAGCAGGTAAAGTCACCACACAGACTCAGGTTCATGCTGTCTCTGTTTCACATAAAGACAGTAAGTCCAATCTTAAATGTCTGTATGCTTGTATTTGTCAACTTGTTTGTTGTATACWCACCTACCTGTAATCCTTAAGGGGACCCAAAGGATTGGGGGTTCGGTTTAGGACTAAGGTGTGAGTTTAGTTTAGCTGAGTTTAGCTTTAGTACTGGGGGGGATTAGTTTTAGGGTAAGGAGTCAAGTTTAGGCTATAGAAATGACTGGAAATGAATGGAAYCCAATGAGCGGTCCTAATAAGCATAGAAATACAAACTTGTGTTTGTGTGGGGTTGGCCAGAGAGTTTCCAACAGGAGGTTCTGATGAATCCCAGAGAGTTCTGTCAGAACAGAAGAGTTCATCCTGAGGGATCTGAACTAGAGAGGGTGCTGGCGGGTAAAAGGGGGCGAYCCCACGCTGCTTGGACTGCAGATGTTTGAACCAAACGAGCTGGGCGTCATTCCCAGGATGCCCTCGTTGTGCGGGGTCTCTCCACACAGGAAGTCATCCTCATCCTCTTTTGAGGCCTAACGCACAGGATAAACAACCAGAGTCAGAATTCATGTTTTGTTTTTCATAAAAGCTTTACAAACGGGTTATTTGTTCCAGAAAAATGCAGAAATGTTTCACATCAAAACAAAACAAAAAAAATGTACAAGTATAGTTAACACGTTGTCAATTCAAAAGAAGTTTAAAGAGAAGGATTTGTGTCTTACAGCTGAAGGCTCTTATTAGGCAGTTGCTATTTGGAGGTAATATTCTTGAAACAGTTGAAAGTCTAGAAGGAACGCTTACCACTTGTCGCCTTTTGTTCAGAGTTTGAAACTAGGATCATCTTACGATGAGAAGGGACGGACTTCTGTTTTAGTCAAACTTTGTGAATAAGATTAGGCACAATCTCTTTAAGTAATGCGAGATCTCATGAGATGTGATAGTGCTCAAATTGTAGCTTAATATCTGTAAAACTTGCTAATTTTATGTTTGATAAGGTCACTTAGTTATGACAGCTATCTTAAATAGGACCGACTCCAAAAGTTAATCGGTTGTACAACCATCTGTCCACTGGWCCACGACATGACCGCCTTTAGCTTTAATGGCTTTTTATGGCACACATTGTTTCTGCAACGTCACAACCTTTATTTCTGTCCAGAGTTGCATTTGTTTTTCACCAAGATCTTGTATTGATGGCGGGAGATTCGAGCTAATGCTCAAAGTCTTCTTCAGCACATCCCAAAGATTCCCAGTGGGGTTCAGGTCTGGACTCTGTGGAGCCAATCCATGTGTGACAATGATGTCTTGTGCTTATTGAACCACACTCTTACTATTTCAGCCTGATGAATCCTGGCGTCATGTCGCAGCATGTCATCAGGAAAAAAAATCCATTGATGGACTAATCTAGTTGGTCAGCGCTGCTGAACCTGATCACTGCCMGCCAGGTATGTTCAGTAGATACTAGGCATGGTCTTAACCTGATGCTCCCATCAGTAAGTAAGTAAAACTTTATTTATATAGCACATTTCAAGATAGGAATCACAAAGTGCTTCAACAAAAATAAAATAAAGTAAAAAATAAACAGAACAAATTTAAACAAATGCAGATTTAAAAAGGTAAGTTTTTAACTGAGCTTTAAAGGAGTTCACAGAGTCAGCTGATCCTAAATTCAGAGGAAGAGTTCCAAAGCCTTGGAGCCACAGAAGAAAAAGCTCTGTCTCCTTTAGTCTTTAATTGTGTCTGAGGAACAATCAGCATGTCTTTAGCACAAGACCTCAGAGCCCTGACAGGAGTGTAAAAATGTAAAAGTTCAGAAATGTAATGTGGTGTCTGACCATGCAGAGCTCGCCAAGTCAAAACCAAAGTCTTGAATTTCACTCGATAATGAACTGGGAGCCAATGAAGCTGCATTAACAGTGGAGTCACATGACAAAACTTAGAAGATCTAGTCAGGAGCCTGGCAACTGCATTCTGCACAGACTGTAACCGGTCAAGTGAGGTTTTAGTTAGGCATGCATACAATGCATTACAATAATCTAAACGAGATGAAACAAAAACATGAATAAAATTTCAATTTCTGAACAAGATACTGAGCTTTGCTATATTTTGTAGATGGTAGAAACAGGAACGAACCAAAGTTTTAACATGATGAACCAGTGTAAGACCAGAATCCAAAATCCCAAGGTTTCTAACTGAAGATTTTGCAGACTGCCAAGAGGCCCAAGGATCTGCTTTATCACTGGAAATATTTTATCTGGTGCAAKTATAATAACTTCTGTTGTTTCTTCATTTAACTGAAGAAAACTCTGTCATCCAGCTCTTTATTGAATCCAAACATCGTAGTAAAAGACACACTTTTGTAACTTCATGTGGAGATAACGAGATGTACAATTGAGTTTCATCAGCATAACAATGATAGGAAATATCCTCAAAAGATGACAGGATCAAACCAAGAGGTAGCATTTAAAGCAGAAACAACAATAGCCCCAAAATAGAGCCCTGTGGAACACCATCACTCTGGAACAGGGTCAGTCTGGATTCATCAGACCACATGACCCACTTCCATTGCTCCAGTGTCCAATTTTCATGATCCCTTGCAAATTGAAGCCATTTTTTCCCCATTAGCCTCACTGATAATGGTTTTCTTACAGCTACACAGATGTTTAGTCCCAATTCCTCTAGTTCTATTCTCATTGTGCGTGTGGAAATGCTCTTATTTTCACTGTTAAACAGCTGAATTCTACTGCTGTCTTCCTACGATTCGATTTCACCAAATGCTAAAATACTAATACTAAAAAAACACTGTCCTTCCTTGAACATGATGTTTCCCCACTGTCCTTTTCTGTTTGTAACGTCGTCTCTTTTCCACAACCACAGAATGTGTTTTTACACATGGTTGTTTAACAAATGAAAAGCTACTCATTGCATCTGCTGAAACATGATCACCCAACAGTTATCCAATGGGAGGCTCATACCTTTTTGCTTAGTTACAGCAAATCCAGGTGGTGACCTGGTTTTTTTGGTCAGGCAGTGTCTTTTTTTAAAGTACAGAAAAACAAATTCACACACACGTGCACGGGCAGAAACATTACCTGTATAAAGATCACAGAGGGTGATGAAGGTCTGATAAGTGTCTCACCTTTTGGCCTGATTTAGCTAAATGTAGCTCTGTGTCTGACAGTTCCTCCCAGACCTGATAGAGAGGCTCGATCAGCTGACCAGACCTGCATGCACATACAGAGGCAAAGATATAATTATATATATATATATATATATAAATCGAATTTCAAAACTTAATGTGTGTATCCTTCATGATATAAAATTCTACAAGTCCTTCATCACTTCTTGATCAACTTTCCTAAAGTTTTGTGTTCAGATCAAAGCAAAGTGAACTTGTAAAATTAGCATTTTCTGCAATAAATGATGTGTGAACAGTGAGTGCTAAAGGACTGCTGAGATTTGAAACACATTGATACTGACTCAAAGGTAAAACAAGCAGAATTGAAGCCTAAGTTACCAAAATTGTAACTACAAACTGAAATAACCACACRTGTAGTCAAAAGCTGAAATTAGAAAAACTGTAGCTATATGCTAGAATTAGCAAAGCTAAGATTAGTGTTACAAAAATAGCTAAAACCCTAAAAGGAGCAATACCATAACTTGAAGCTAAWATTACCAGTAAAACCATAGTGTGAATGCTGACTCAGCATTCTGACAACAAACATCACTGGTTTCAGATAAGCAGCTGTCAGAGCACCTTTTCAGGAGATAGGGATCAAAGGGAAAGAAGCTGTCCAGAGGATTGGTGTTGGTGCTCACTCCATCTCCCCCTGCAGAGCTGCGGACCACTGGCAGGACCTGCTTGTTGTTCTTCTCTATGACGCTGTAGCAGAAGACCACCTGATACTTCCTGGAACAAAAACCATGAGCAGAACGTCATCGGTGTTCTGWGATCTGCTTCTGTCTGGTGCTACTGGACTCAAAGAAATTTAGCAGGATGTGGAAAAGACTTTATGGACACCAACAGACACTTAAACAGGTTTTGCTGACCATTTCAGCTTTGTTTGTTTTTTACAAACCCTGGGAATCGAACTGACAACTCTTTCAATGAAAGACGCCTCCCCTAACCACTCAGCCACAAATAACATTTGCATAAAKCACTGTGAAATTTTGCAGATTAGAGTTGTTTCAATGCAGCAGCAATCCACCTTAGTTCTGGCTGGTTCAGACTAGTCGTTAACTCATCAGTAAGGTCAAAATTAAATACTTGCTGCGTCCCACATCAGGGACCGCAGCCCACGGAGGCCACACCCTATGTAGTCTGGGTAGGTCGCATAAAACTGCTGTGAAATGAGARGGMGGAGTCTTCAGATGARGTATGTTTGAGTGACCACACACTACCCTGTTACCATAGTGATCGGTTTTATATGACGTACCTACAGACTTACAATGTGTGGGAACATGTATTCACTTCTTTTCACTGGAGGAATAACTTCACAATTAAAAATATTACACATAAATAGATAAATCACATGAATAATTTGGGTTAAGCTCCAGTATCAGTACTAGTAATTACGTTTTATTTAACATCTTATTGCAGCATCAGTTTCATCAAAGGTCCTGTCACAATACACTGTTTTAGACAACTTAGACCAACTTATGAAAAGTTTGTCCAACACTAAAGGCCCCCACATACTCGAAGCAGACGTCTGTGGGACAGGTCTGCACAGAGATCCGCTCAATAAACTGCCTGGCGAGTTCACATCAAACTGTTCTGGATGTGACATCAAGCAGATAAAGTTGAAAATCTGCATCATTTTTGAATGAAATGGAGAAAGAGTGTCTCACAGAGGAGGTTAGAAAACAGATACCATATGATACATCAATGAGGGAATAGAAGGACTTTCAGAGAGCAACAAATTTGTGGGAGGAAATAGCTCAGACCCTGGGTAAACTTAGTTATTATCATTTGTTGCTTTTAAGCTTAAAGGGATCCCTGATTAGTTGCAACATTAGACTTTATTTGATAAACGTATATTTTAACTGTAAAATAAAGACTGTAAAAATACTGTAGGATGTTCAGTTTTTATAATTTTTAAACTAAAAGTTTAAAAATATATTACACGGACAGGGCCATTTTATTTCCACACAAAGCATTCTGAGTAAATGATGACATGAATAGGTCCTCGGTGCGAGGCTGCTAGCGAGCTATATCCACCCTGAAGGTTAATCTTGGACAATATCTGATGATCGACTCTTTTAAATGAAACCAGAGAGCGTTGACAGAGAGGAGAAGGTAGAAATGACTCAGCCTGTAACTGAAAATATGGATGGAGGACAACAGAGCTGCTTCATGGAAGAAGAACCCCATCTTAGACAGTTAGCTTTAGCATTAGCCCCGATGCTATCACCATATATATGTATTAGCTCAGCGCTACACATTCTCCTCTCGTCACTGAGGTCCTCCATCCACATGACAGAGAGGGGAACGCAAACAGGACTCAGCCTGCAGCTGAAAATATAGATGGAGGACCGCAGTTTAGCTTGTTTGTCGCACTAGCACCAAGCTTTTATATATATAAGGCAATACAGCGTCAGCGCTAGAGCGAAGGCTAACAGGCTAAGTTTCTTCTTCCATGAAGCAGCTCTGTTGTCCTCCATCCATATTTTCAGTTCCAGGCTGAGTCATTTCTACCTTCTCCTCTCTGTCAACGCTCTCTGGTTTCATTTAAAAGAGTCAAACATCAGATATTGTCCAAGATTTAACCTTCAGGGTGGATATAGCTCGCTCACATTGAGGACCTATCCACGTCATCATTTACCCAGAATGCTTTGTGTATAAATAAAATAGCTCCATCCATGTTAAAATATATTTTTAAAGATTTACGAAACTGAACATCCTACAGTATTTTTACAGTCTTTATTTTACAGTTAAAATAAATGTTTATCAAATAAAGTTTAATGTTACAACTAATCATAGATCCCTTTAAAAGCAAACTATCTGTTCCTCTTCATCCTTGACATCATGACTGAAATTGTGAAGAATTACAGAATTTGTCAGTACGCTGGAGTCTGAAGTCTCAAACATCCGTGGACAATATGCGTGGAGTCTGCCCGGCTCAGGAACTGCACACAGTACGCCCGAGTGTGTGGGAGCCTTACGGGTGTCTAAGCTGAAGATGGAATTTTAAAAATCTACTGGAAGCCTATTTTAGTCCTGTAAATACTGTAATGCTAAAAATTAGATCAAATATTTAGCGGATATGAGTAAAATACTCATAACACAATGTTCAAAAGTCTGACTGGCAGCCTGTACCTGGTGATGGCAGCAAACATGCTGGTGACTGAAGGCAGGCAGACTTTAAGAGGGTTCAGCTGAGACAGAACCACCCGCTCCAGGTTCAGGCTCTGCAGGTACTCCAGACCTGACACACGCAAACACAGAAACCCAAAGTCAGCTCAACAGAAGCAGCTGTAACAAACCAAAAGTGTTCCCTCCACCCTGCTGGTAGCAGACTGTTTGAGGTTTTCCATTTAAAAAGCAAACTAGAAGCAGTGGAGTGAGAACTGCTGCACCTTTCTTCATGTTGGCCTCCAGGATGGCTCTGTGTCTGAAGATGACTGTGTAGAAAACGGCCTGGCAGGCAGTGTAGAAAGGTCCGTGCAGGCTGATGTCACAACACACCTGTCTGCCGCTGCTGTCTTGACTGTCGATGTAGCGATGGATCCAGGACAGAAGCAGGTCTAGGCAGGCCCGTGCAGTGCTGAAGGCCAGGGAACACCAGATTACACACCCAGCTATAGACATTTGATTGAGTTTTTTAAAAAGCCAGTGTCTGCCTGGGCTGCGACCACTGAAGACCGACTGGTGACTCACAATTGCAATACAAATAAATAAATAGGTTAATRCTTAGTTACAGTATCAAAATTCTGAGAGTTTGAGATCAAACTTGAGCCTTCAAAGACTGTAATACATACCCTGATRTYAATGCATAAATCTGAGCTGAAGCTAAATAAACTAGAGCTACAAAAATCTAACARAACACTTGGCTATGAAACATTAATTTTGTTTATGCATTGAAGGTGTTTGATACAGCTAACAACTGTTCAATTCAAATCAACCACTAAGTTCTTATAGCAGTTATTACTGTCTGCACTGACAGCCTTTCACCTCCTGATGACATCATCATGCACATTATAGTTTAATGAAATGTCATTTAATTAGAAGAGCTAATCAATGTGAATCACCTGATACCTTGTTAATAGAATTTGGTGCACGGTGACCCACACTAGCCCATGGGCTCTTAAGCCCCAAGGGGTTGCTGAAATGTAACTGAGTGTATCTCAGRATTTACAAACTCTACTTAAATAATGTTGGTCTCAAAATAAAGCTAACAACTGGGAGCTTATGTTAGAAGTGTAAGTATTAAAACAGCTGCTTTGGTTTAAGAGATTTTAGGGATGGAACATAAATTTTTTTTCACTCTCACCTGAATAATTTTTTCATTAGACAGTATATAACCCATTTCAAACCATAATGATTCAGGCTAAAAACTCTTGGAAAACATAAAAGCACTTGTGGACATTTCCTGTGCAAAGATTCACGCTGCTAAAATTAACTGGAGCAAAGTTACAGAGGTTTAGTAAAAAAAATATTTTTCATTTTGTCATTCTGCACAGGACAGACCATGTTGGTACCATTAATAAATGTTAAGAAATCTGAAGTTTTTACATCCAAAAGTTATTTATTTTTCTTACCTGCCATAAAAGACTTGTTATTGAATATTTGTTCTTTTGAAAAACTATCCAAATATTTATTTGTCACCATATAAATTATATAAAAAAATGATCAATTATATTTGACTTCAGTTGGATCATATTCACTCAAAATCAAGAAAAAAAACTTTCAACACACTTTACAACATATTTAGGTAACTGCTTTGGCTTACTTTAAAAAATAATGTAGTAGTAGTAGTAGTAGAAGTAGTAGTAGTAGTAGTAGTAGTAGTAGTAGTAGTAGTAGTAGT